GCATCCCGGGGCGCCCGCCGCCGCCGCCGAGCAAGGCCCCGGGACCCCCCCCGCGGCTATTCCGCCTCCGGCAGAAATGACGGGGAATGACCGCGACCGGCGCCGCCTCCCCCCCCCGGCCGCTCAGCCTTTATTTTTATTTTCATTTTCTCACTTCTGCCAACAACCCGACGCGGCCCCGCCCCCCCCGCCCAGCGGAGAATTAAAGCGCAATTAAAACTCGAGAGCAAGCCCCCGCCGTTCTTCACGCCTCGGCAAAAGCAAGCTCCTTCTTCTAAAAAAATAGTGTAAGTTGTCTGGTTTGCTTTGTTTTTCCCCGGGAAAACGTCCCCAGCCTCTGGGCCCCAGCTGCACCCTCCCGGCCGCCCCCCCCGCTGCCCGGGCACACTCTCAGGACCCGGGGGCTGCAGGTGGAGGCCCAGCCCCCTGCACTGGGGAAGGGACATGGGGACACGTACCCCAACCCTGCACCAGGCCACCACTCACCTGCTGTGTGTCACCCAGAGCTTGGGGAACACGGGGCCACCCGTGTCCCCCACCACCCCTGGCCCCAGGGGCTCCTCCCCCCCCAGGGCAGGGACCTGTCTCCTCCCCAAGACACACGTGAAACCCAGAGCTTTTGTGTTATAAAAATATTCCGTGCTTTATTTACTCTGTGATAGAAAAATAACATGGCCAGGACCCCAGAACTTCTTGGCCAGAGCAAGGGGAGAGGCGGGGGGGTGGGGAGGCAGAAGGCTCCGCTCCCCCCAAACCACCCACACTGCCTGGCCACCCTCGCTGGGTGCCCTCGCACCCTGTCTCCCTTGTGCTGCACTGGCTCTGGCAGGGGACATTGAGGCCAGGAGCCAAAGGGGGTCCCACATCCTTAGGGGACCAGAGGAGGAGACGAGGTCCGGGAGGGGACCCGGCTGCTGTGGAGCAGAGTGCCAGCACGGGCCAGGGGGGAGCCCCGGCTGACCCCCCCACCCCCACCCCATGCCAGAGCCTGGTGCGCCCACACACCCCCTGGGAACAGAGCCACGGGGTAGAACAAGAAGGCGACACGTACATTCTTAGTGACGACTGCGAAAGCAAACCCGAGGCCGGACCCCCGGCCCCTGCCCCGAGCAGCCCCTTGACGGGGAGCAGGGGGGCTGCGGGGCCGGTGCTTGCAGAAGCGGAAAGCCGAAGCTGGGCCTCTTAAAAGGAACATACAGGAAAACCATGCGACAAATCCGCTGCCGTTTATACAAGGGCATAAACACCAAAGAGCCGGACGCCAGCCTGCGTTTCGGGGCAGCACAGAGCAAATCTCCGGGGCAGGGCCCACCCGCCGCCCCCCTGGCACAGAGACACAAACACAGCACAGTCCCCACAGGGCCGGGGCCGGGGGGCCGGGCACCCGCCCGTCACGACTGGGCATGGGGGATCCACTGACTGTCCATAGGGCGCCGCAGCAGCTCCTCCACATGCCTTGCCACGTCCATGGTGTCATCCAGGTCGAAGTCTCCCTCGGGGTCCAGCACGGTGTCGGGGCTGCGGGAGGCAGGGGGTGAGGCGGGGAGGACCAGCCATGGCAGGACAGAGACAGGGGATGCGATACCTACTTCTGGGCATACATGTTGTAATGGGGCTGGGAGCAGACGGCGGGCGAGGGAGCCTGGTCCATGTAGGTGGCCCCTCCAGGGGCAGAATCACCTGATGCGCTGACGAACCTGTGGGGACGGGGGGCTTGTGAGCGCTGGCAGGGGACCGGACAGGCTCCCCCGGGGCGACATTGCACTCTGGGACTTCCCATCACCTCGGACCGGCATCTCCCGAGACTGGCAGGGTGCCAGCAGGGGACCCAAACCCCACACCCACAAACAGTGACAATGTGTGGGGTCCCCAGCCCACTGAAGGGCAGCACGGCAAGTGGGGCACCTGCCCTCCCGGGCAACATACAGCCCTGCCTTGGCCACAGGCCCACGCGCCTCAGCCTCCAGCACCGGCTCAGCACCAACGTGGCCATTGGTGGTGCTGGAGCCCGAAAGCAGAGGTGCCCTGGGCTGCTGGCCACCCCAGCCACCTTGCTGGGGCCGATCCCACGGGACTGCCCAGGGTCTGCATTCAGGGTCAGGCTTACTCTGGCACCACTTGCTTGATCTGTGGCTTCACGTATCCATCCACGGCTTTAGCTAGAGGAAAGAAGGCAGCACTAAGGCCCCAAGCTGCTGGTGCATGCTGCAAGCCTGCGGTGGGGCTGGGGGCTCACGCATGGCCAGCTGCAGAGCCCCCATGGGGCTGGATGCAGCCTTGGGGCAGAGGGATGCTGTGAGCCCTGGCTCTACCCCAGTCAGATGCACAAAGGAGAGGGACGCGCGTGGGGTGAAGGGGCAGCGCTACCTGGCGTGGACTCACAGAGAACCGGCGTGTAGTACTTAGAGAAGACCTCGTCCTTGGGCCGGTCAGGGAACACATAGATGAGGTAACTGAGGTCCCCAAGGCGGTCGGCCAGGGAGCGGATGGAGAAGTCCCTGGTGGTGAAAGGCATCAGGTTCCAGAACATCCTCTCAGCTGGAAGAAAAGAGCAAGGACCACGGTGACGCCCAAAGCCGCCGGTGGCTCCCAGCTCCGCTCCGGATGCAGGCTGTGAGATCACGTTGAACATCAGATGGCATTTCCTGCTCTGCATCCCTCCCCCGGCAACATTTAAGGGCAAAACACAGGTCGCCAGGAAACTGGATCAGCCAGGAGGCACAGTGAACTCGAAGCAGGTCTGGCCTCAACCAGACACGTGGCGGGCAGGTCCCCCCTGGCCGCAGCGGGGCTCCGCAGGGCTTTGCAGCGCTCCTCAGCCACACAACCCTCCGAAGGATGTTCTTAGGAAGAACAGTAATGAGCGGACTTGCTGCACAGGGTCAGGCAACCCATGCAAACCCACTGAACCAGGAAGCACCATGGAGTCGCTGTGTTTTGTACAGCCCCAAAGGGACTTGGGTCGGATGGTTTAGCCCAGTCCCTCCTCCCCACCAACACCGGCACTTGGGCTGGATGTGGCCACAGCTGCCACAGGGCAGCCAAGCTGCAGCAGTGCTGGTGCCCAGATGAGACAGGAGGTGCTGGAGCAGCAGCACCGGCCCCGTGGGCACAAGACCGGCAAGTCCTAGGCTGGGGCCAGGGACAGTGGGGCTGGGCAGGTGCCAGCTCTCGGCATGCACTCACAGGAGTCGAACTTCCACGCGATGGTGATGCCACCAATCTCCGAGTCGCTGAACCGCAGGAGGAAGGTCCCATCGGGTTTGTTGATGAGCAGGTCATGCGCCTGCTGCTTGTTGACGAAGCCCAGGATGGCCCTAGGCAGAGCGGGGTGTCAGGGCCAGGGTTCTCGGGGCCGGGCAGTGTCGGGCAGGGCGGCTCTTACCCATCGTTCCAGTGCGGCTTCAGATGCTTCTTCAGCACCTCCATGACCCCGTCAAACCACTGCCAGAAGGTGTAATTCCTCCCGGGCAGGTTTTCCTGTTGAAAACCCCAGAAAATGAGCACTCCTGCCTCCAGCCTCATAGCTGCTGTCAAACAGCACAAGCGTTTGGTGCAGCAGTGGACACTTGGGGACTTGGACTGTGGGACGCCCGCCAGCGCTGCCAAACCAGGTGCAGGTCAGCCTGGCCAGGCAGCACAGCCCCAGGGGAGCGCCAGCAATGCCTCCCCAAGAACACAGACCCTGTCTGCGTGGCCTAGAGCACCGGGTGCCTTCAAGCAAGGGAGGCGACACCTCCCGCCCCACTGCAGCCAACAGCCATCTCCCCAGCATCACCCCATTTTGCATCACCCCAGCATTTTGCATCACCCCAGCAAGAAACGGCTCCTTGGGAGGGATGTGCCCCA